GAGGACCCTAGGAGGGTCACGCTTCTCCCCCAACCCCACACACCCAACGTGGTGGAAGTGACAGAGCCAGAGAGGGGCTGGCAGACTGGGCACCCAGACTGGGCAGTCTCTCTTCCAGGGTACACCCTCTACCCTAACCCTAAGTACCTTGCACTCTTAGGCCACCCTGGGGTGCCTGGAGGAAAGGGTCCTGATGAATCATAATGAGCCCTTAACAAAGCAACTGGGCTTCCAGGGCAAGACAACAGCCAAGGGTCTGGAGAGAGCGCCTCAGGGCTCTGCCCACTGAACTCCCCTATTCCATCTCTGTTGGACAGTTAGTCTCGGAGGCAGAGATCTGTGAGGACCCCCTATGCTTATCTTCCAGGATACTCAAAGAAAACAGACATCAGAATATCCCGTGTTGACCCTAAGGGGCAAGGGTTTAGGCCAAGCTGAGATAACAGGCGTGTCCCTTCCTGGCCATGTAAGTGCATGTTAACCTTGGCCTTCAGTTACACAAACCCAGTTAAAGCCACCTGCGTGAAAACAGGCCCCACGGTATCCAAGACAAGCAGCAGCAGTGGGCATCTGTCGAGCAGTTAAGACACTTGGGACGCCCAGATTCCACATCAGAGTGCTGGGAGTTGGCCCCGCCTCTGCTTCCGGTTCTAGCTTCCTGCAAACCGGAGCCCTGGGAGGCAGCAGGTGATGGCCCAGGCACTTGGGAATCCGACCCCCACCTGGGAGACCCAGAGGGAGTTCCTGGATGCTGATTTTGGCCAGGTCCAGGTGCAGCTGTCATGGGCATTTGGCAAGTGAACCAACAATGGAAGATCTCTCTCCATCTCTCTCCCCTTCAAGTAAAACGAAAAATAAATTAAATTGAAAAATGTTTTCGGGGCTGGTGTTGTGGCATAGTGGGTAAAGCCACTGCCTGTGACACCAGCATCCCATATGGGCACCAGTTCGTGTCCTATCTGCTCCACTTAATGCTCCAGCTCCCAACTAATGGCCTAGGAAAAGCAGTGGACGATGGCCCACGTGCTTGGGCTCCTGCATTCACGTGGGAGACCCAGAAGCAGCTCCTGAATCTTGGTTTTGGCCTGGTCCAACCCTGGCTGTTGCAACCATCTGGGGAGTGAACCAGCAAATGGAAGATCTCTCTCTCTTTCTCCCTCTCTCTCCATAACTCTGAGTTTCAAATAAATACATCTTAAAAAATGTTTTCAAAGGAGCAAAAAATTGGTGACTTGAAGTGGGTGTTTTGGTGTGGTGGGTTAAGCTGTCATTCGGGACCCCTGTATCCACTATCATAGCCAGTCTGAATGCTACCTAAGCTTCCAGTCTGGCTTCCTACTGTGCCTGGGAGGCAGCAAATGATGGCCCAAGTCCTTGGGTCCCTGCCACCCACATGGGAGACTTGGATGGAGTTCCTGGCTCCTGGCTTTGGCCTGGCCTAGCCCTGGCCATTGTGGACATTCGGGGGAGTGAAAAATCTCTTGCTTTCTCCATTTCTGTGTAACTCTACCTTTCAAATAAATAAAAATAAAATACAATAAAAATTCTGCTTCCTCCAGATTGTTTCAAAACTGGAGAAAGAAGAAATAGAGTAGGCAAGTGGCTTTGCCTAGGTCATTGTTGCTCCCACCGCGAGCTTCCCAGAGGGCCGCTCATGGCACCAATCAGTGCATGGCAGGTGCCAGGGCCTTCCGTCTTCAAAGCAGGCAGCAGAGTCACCACTGGAGAGGAGGGAGGCCGCGGGGTAATGAGTTCCAGCTCAAGCCGGAGACCACTGTCCCTGGGAGGACAGTGAAAGGTGGGGTCTGGGCTGTGTGTCCCTTCCCTACCCCACTCCACATTTGTGGGGGGGAGGGGCAGGAAGTCTGGCATCTGGGATGGATTAAGAACTGATGTAACCACAGCAGGGGCTGAGCCAGAAGAGCTCCCTGCATACAGGCCTGGAAGGAGAGAGGCCCTCGGAGGGGTCAGCAGGCAGCGGACAACCCTGCCTCACCCCTCAGGCCACCCTCAGAGTCACACAGGCCTCTGTCTGCCCCCTCTCTCCTCTGCAGCACAACTGCTCAACAAGCAAAACAAAACCCACCACCCCTGGCTCCAAATAGCACAGGCCCAGGCGGCTGGAAATGGTGAACACCAACCAGCTCCGTCTTGTGTCGGTTTCCACAATAAGGCACTACGACGCCCCCTCCCAGGGTACGTGCACCCATCGACTCTGCCTCTCCTTCTAAAGAAACGAATAGAAGCATGGATGCTAATGGAAGATTAGCGTCCTCTCCCATCAATGTTAATACTTTTTTGGGGGGAGTTATTTGCAATTTCCTTTCGTAAGTCTGAAACATCATTGCCCAAATTAGCTCTTTTCGCTCAATAAATGCCATATTAGCATTCTGAGACTTCCAATTGCGTACTGCTCATTGAGAGAGGGGTCAGACGAAAAAGCTGAGCAGCCCGCACCTGACCTCCATTTCGCTGAAGAAAGCCAGGGCGGGGGAGACCCCAAGTCTCCAAGCCCGGGCCATACTCTCCGCCCACTGCACCCAGCCAGGGCGAGCAGTGCCCAGGGCATGCGCGCCCCCCGAGCCACCGGCCCCGCCGGGTGACGCTGCCGCAAGGTCCCAGCCTTGGCACCTCGGGGGCTCCCTGCTTGGGGGCGGAAGGAGGGAGCCTCGGGAGTGCGGGCCGAGGAAAGGGGAGCCCGTACTTGTGGCCCCAAAGCGACTGCATCTAGCTCGGTCTTCGAGACCGGCCTCGCACCCAAAGCCCGGGCAGCAGCTCTGGGGGCTCGCGGTCTAACAACCTCGCGGCGACTCCGTCTCCGGCGGCAACCCCGGCTGCAGGCGGGGCGCGCCCGGCCCAAAGGGCTGGAGCCGAGGGCCGCCCCTCCCCCAAGGCCCCACGGCGGACCCCTTCCGTCCCCTTGATGCCAAGCGCCGGGTGCTCGTCCCAACAAAGCCCCCTCTCCCCTGGCACCCCGACCTGCCACCCACGCCGCCCCCTCCGGTACACGGCGGATCCCGGCCCTCGCACCGGCTTCTCGCAACCTTCTTGAAGCTTCGGATCGGACTCCTGTGGGCATCCCACAGGCACCATGGCCCCCTCGTCCCAAAAATACGTTCGCGCCGCCCACCAGCGGCGGCGGAGCCTCGAGGACCCAGGCGCTGCCGCACCTACACGGCGCGGCCGTCGCGAGAGCGCCAGTGCGATCGCCCTCCGCGCCTCGCTGGCGGACTCGCAGCGCGCGGCGCGCAGGCAGCGCGCAAAACGTGACGGGGGCGTGGCCTCCGGGCACGCCCAGGAGGCGCGCGCCGAGGTCGGGCGGCGAGAAGGCCGCTTTCCCATGGTCCCTTGATATTTGCATATACAATATAAAGAGATTAGGAAAACTTTTCATTTAATGTGCCTGAAAACACAAGGATACAAGTGCATACTATGTAATACAAGAATATGTAATCTATGGAGTATTTTTCAATTGGAGAACCCTACAGTATACTCACCATAATTAAAAAAGATTTTTAATTTTTGGCTTTATATATCTGCAGGGAAGGGTGTTAGCTCGTGCTCGCTTCGGCAGCACATATACTAAAATTGGAACGATACAGAGAAGATTAGCATGGCCCCTGCGCAAGGATGACACGCAAATTCGTGAAGCGTTCCATATTTTTGCACCTAGTTTAATCAGGTGCCCAGGTGACGCCATTAAAGCAAATGCTTTTACGTGTTCTGTCTTGTTGGACACAAAACACACTGTTCGGAGTCTCAGGAGACCCAATAGAAGGAGGTGGGGCCTAGGCAGAGTCGTCTCTGAGGGGCGTCTGCTTCCCGGACAGTACGCTGTGCGCGCTGTGCACCTTACACCTGCTGCATTGCTGGCTTAAACGGCCCAGGATCGGTTGCAACCGTAAGCAGGGACGCGCGAGAATACTGACAGACTCCCCTCAATGTCACTTAATAAGGGTGCTTCACTGTCTCCCACCTCTCCCCAACAGCCCCGCCCACCTCGGCAGGCGCGCCAACCGGGAATGGCAGAAACCAGGCCCTCAAGGCCGGGGTAGGCACAGGGACCCTGGCCCCAAGCTGTTCCACTGCTGAAACAGTTCTAATTACAAGGACGAAGGGAAAGAAGGACGGCCAAGTTCAGATACCCAGCGATGACTTCCTGCTTCCTGAAGTGTCCACTTTTCTCTGAAATAAACCCGGCCCACCTGCTCTGCTGGGGATTCCGCGGCCACTGGGACCCCGCGGTCGGCCTCCCGCGGCCGCTGCAGGGCGGGCAGTCAGATACGGAGGCCCTGGGCCGCGGCAGGTGCTCTTCCCCGGAGCTGTGCTGAGCTCTGGAGCCCGGGGATGAGAGCACAGGGCTCTGTGGGACCCCTCCTTGGGCCTCCTCCGAGGCTCACCGCCAACCGTGGACGGAATGAGAGGACAGGCTTTGGTGATTTTTGGCGGCCCTTGGGAAATCGGTGTGTGCCATACAGGAAGCGAACAACGTTGGTGACCAATGTTCCTCCCTCTGCTTCCACCAGGGACAAACCCCAGACGCCAATGTTATTAGCCTGTGTGTGGGAGGGGGCAGCCTGGTGAAATGGAATTAAAGAGAAATGGCCCAAGAAGGCTTGGTCAGATTGTTGCAAAGAAACTTGCTCTGGGCGCGAAGGTTGTCTTGGAGTGGGAGTTCTGAAGTACCAGGCAGCTCCCAGTCCTGAGACCTGGCGGGCTGCTGGCTCTGCACGAACTTGTTGAGAACTTGGACAGCTGCCCTGGTGAGGTCCCTTTGTCCACATGTAGTAAACCAAGGTCTAGGCATTGCAGGGTGCCCTTCTAACCTGGGTGCTGGTGGATTCTTAAGAATCTGTCTCTGCAGAGTTTAAGAGTCCAGGCTGGACAACACACTGATTATGGGGTAGAATCCCTGGCCCCCAGAAGGAGCAGAGGGTCACAGAACGGGGTCCATGTGGGGACTCCTTAAAAGCATTCCTGTCCTGAGTCTTGGAGCTTGAAAATGAAGTCGGAATCATCATCTCAGCAAACACCCACATAGCAGCCCGTCTGGCATGCCAAGAGCTGTTCTCGGTGCTCAACATAGATGAACTCATCGTGGGCACAGAACAGTTGCATTTCCCTCGTGCTATGTGAAACTGATAAGAACAGATGCTACACTTGATCTCAGCCAAAAGGCTGGGACGAGATCCCTCGTGCTGTAGATGAGGGCACAAGGCACAAAGATTTCACGTGTCCGAGGTCGCACACAATTCAAGAGGCAGAGCTGGGATTGAGAGACATTAGGCTACCTCTGAAGGAGGGGACGGGACAGAGAGCTGCTTAGACTTGGTGGAAAGAGGGAGCCGATCCAGTTCCATCTTTGTTGCGGTTCTGAATTCAAGACACAGCTTCACAGGAGGGCAGCTGGGGGTGGGGAGACGGTATGTGCCTGGTGATCTCGCTAAATGTACCTGAGGGAAGGAGCACCCTCCCTGGGACACAGTCGGAACAGGAAGAATGTTTTCCTATATCCTAGGCTGACAATCCCTCACCTGACTCCTGCCTCCCAACCTAATCCTGCTGACGAAGGATCTTCTTTCTGAGCAGTAAGCCTGTCTTAATTAATCTTATGTAAAGGAGTTTAATTGGTTCTGGGTAGCTGTTGTCCAGGAGCACCTAGGGATCCCGTTCCCCCGACATTTCCAGCACCTGGATGAACCGCAAAGCAGGAAGCTGGTTGTGTTTCTGGGGTGCAATGGGCCATGAGTTGGAGATGACAGCAAGAGCAAGGTATAACCCCTTGGGAAACAGGCAGACACAGCCAAAGGAGACCACAGGGGGGTGAGTGTCCCGGTGGCCTCCTGACCCAACTGCCATGAGATGCCCCAGGTTATCTGAGACCACAGAGTCCAGGGATCTCGAGGGGGCCTTTGCAGAGGAAAGGGTGGTAGAAGCAGCCTTCCAGAATTCTCCTAGAAGGTGAAATACTGCAGGCTCCACCAGCGTTTCCAGCTTGCTTGGGCTTCTCACCTGGATTTGCAAGGACCGGTGGAGCTAGAGACCCGCTGTCCTGTCCCATTATGGCTCCCAGGGGGCATCCAGATTTCCTCTAAGGAAAAGCAGTGGTAGGTGGCAAGGAGCATGTTCAGTTCAGCTGGCCCTCACCCCGAGACGGGGACTCCCTGGGGCAGGGGAGAGTCTGTGCCTTACCCACCCCAGCTCTCGCCGGGGCCTCTGGGTGTTGGCTGTAATGCCTAAAATCAGTCGCGAGGTGGCAACGTTGTGGCGAGAAATAAGACTTTTTAATCCTGGAGGTTTTTTTTTTTCAAAGCATATTTTCCCTATTAATGTTTCATTTAACTTAATTAGAATCTGGTAAACTAATTAAAGTAGCTACGAGCCCCGCAATCAGCAATAATTCCTATAATTATTGATAATTACATCCATACCAATCGTTCGGTTATTAACATGTTGGGGGATGGATGGTGGCGGGGAACAAACCGCTTCCGAAGGGACTCGGAGCCCAGGAGGGTTTTCGCGGCTGAGCTTTCTGGGCCGGGTCCGCCCGACCTGCGGGGATTCGGGCCCAGAGGGGGCGCCCCTTCGGCGGGCCGCAGGTGCTCGCGCGTTCTTCACTCGGCGGGACAGGGGATGGGAGCGCACGTTCGCTGGGCGGGCAGCACTTCCTGTGCAAACTGTCATGCCCATTTCACAGACTAGGGAAGCGCGGCTTTTAAAGGTGCCGCCAGGTAGGGCCAAAGGGGCGCCCTGGGGACTCAGGTCACCTCTTCTCGGCGACGGGGACTTGGGTGGTACCATCTTGCGAGACGTCCCTGCTCCCTGAAGGGTCCCTGCGTGGAGACGGCGCGTCCCCCCAGTGCTCTCTGGGTGTCGCCCTTGCGGGGTCCTGGGACCTGAGGGCTCAAAGACCCAGCGCCGGGGAGGGGAGGGCGGGGGGGCCCTCTGCCGTGCCTTCGGGCTCTCTATCAGCACTCCTCGGACGGCGCGACCCCCGTTTGCCGGCTCCTCCTGGGGTCCCCACGGAAGTTGCCGGCCTCCAAGCTGCCGGCCGCGCGCCGCTGGACCCGATGCTCACCTCCGGGGTCCCCGCAGGGAGAGGCCCCGGGGTTGCCGGGAGGAGTGCCAGGTCCGGGCGCCGGTCCCGGCCGCAGCGCCGCGGCTCCGCGCTCGGCCTACTTCCCGGCGCGCTGGGATGCTGTTATAGAGGACGAAACGGAGACTCAGGAAAATAAAGGACGGGGACACTGGACCCTTCTTAGCCGGCCATGGAGGGGAAGGGCAGCCAGGGAGGACCGGGTCCAGTACCACGGGGCTCCCCCACTGCGTCCGCACCTCCCGCCCCAAAGGACAAAAGCGGAGGCTATGCACTCTGCGTCCCTTATCTGTAGCAGGTGTGCTTAGGAAACTGAGGCCGACCAGGGGCGCGCGGCTAGGGGAGGCCACATCAACCGCCCCCCCGCCCCCACCGCGCGCCAGACATCCTAGCCAAGGCCCAGGAGCGAAGCGGCCCGGCGCACCGGGCCCCGCCTTCCTCCCCGGGCTCCTCCACGCCCTTGTCCCCAGCTCCGCTGGGGCCTACGTGGACGGAACCTTAAAGCGCTGCCAGGCTGCCTCCCCTCGCGCGGCGGCCGAGCAGGCGGAAGGGCACTCAGTGCTTGAGAGCGGCCTTGGTCTTCCACCCGGCCCGGCGCTGCTGCAGGGCCAGGCCGGCCGCGCTGCCCGTGCCACCTGCGTGGGGTGGCTCCGGCAGAAGTTCACGCAGGCTCCCTGTCTCTAAGCGCCCGGGAGATGACTTTCCCGGGTGTGGCTGGCGTGGAAATGCGCACGAATGAAGTCTCGGTCCTTGCGACACCAGGGACCACGCAGTGGGTGCCCTTTCTGGGCCCGGGGCGGGGGCGGAGATCCTAAACGCGGAAAGGGGATGGTCTGGAGGAGCGTGTGAAGAGGTCGTGGCGCGCCTGCCGCCCACCTGGGCAAACGCGACTCTCAAACCCACGAGCGCCCCAGACCCTGCGCGGCAGGGTCCTGCCCTCACCTGTGGCGCTGCCCCTCCCCCCTCACTCCCACCTCTGCAGCCCCCAGAAGCGACAAGAGCTTTTTATTATTGTTGTTATTATTATTAAAAACAAAAGTCACGGATACAGGGTGGTCTCCCCAAACAGGCTCAAGGTGGTCGCCATCCAGTTGAGTCAGTTGTCGCCCTTTTAAAGTGCTGTTAGGTCGAGAGATTACAACCAAAAATAGACAAAGCAAGAATCCCAACGGGGAGTATAAAACCGAGGCGAGGGGGAAGGAAGCAACATAACTTAGAGCGTAAATAAATTAGAGTGAACCTAATACTGAACCAAGAGACTCGCAGTACGCTTAGATCCATTGCACATAGCCACTGTGTCGTTAGGAACGAGAGTTTCACACGTGGGCGGGGCGGGGGCGCGACGCCCGCGCCAGCGAGGTTGCTACTCAGTGTTCACAACCCGGGTCCCCAGCCGCACGCGGGGGCGGGGCGGGCGACCTCCGCTCCCCGCCTTCCTCCGCGGGTCCGGGGAACCCCTGGAGGTCCGATGCCCTGGAGTTCCACAGAGGGTCCGGGCGGCTTTCACGCCGGGGGTTCCGAGACGGCCCCGGGACTGGGCCTGGGACGCCCCGTCGGGGGCGGGCAGGGCCCCGTGCGCCCGGGAGGAGGGTGGGCGGACGGGCGGCTGTATGTACATCGGTCGGGTCCGAATGGCTTGTTCCTCACTCTGGGCCGCCGCGGGTGCGTACAGGAAGGAGCAGCATGGCTTGAAGGCGCGGGGGGCGCGGCGGGGCCGGCCCTAGGGCAACAGCGGGGGTTTGAAGGAGCAGTTGCCAGTGCAGTGACGGGGCGTGAGCATCTTGCAGGAGAAGTGGTGCAGGGCGTCGTGGGCTTCTGGGGAGAGAGTCGCGCGGGCCACGTCGGGCGCCTCGCCTGCCTCCCCGGCGACCGCGGGGGTCCCCTGGCCCTCCTCCCGCACCCACCCAACTCTGCTAGCTCAGGAGTTGGCAGCTGAGAGACCTTGGTGAGTCAGAACCACCACGCTGCTTTAGTCGCCCCATTTTACAGAAGAGGAAACTAAGGCAGAGTGTGTGTGGGGGGGGTGCGCTTGCCCGAGGCCAAAATTAGAAGAAGAAGGTAGATTTTCCCAAGCCCAGAGCTCAAGGATCTCTTTCTCCCTACCGCAGCGTTCTGAAACTATTTCCCAATAAGGTCAATTCCCACCTCTCTCCTCTCAGCTACTGATCCATGGAGACTCCTGGCTTTTCCCCTGGCGAGCCCCTGTCCGCCCGTCCATCCACCGATCCATCCCGCAGCCTGCACGGCCGCACCTGGGCCCTCCCTCTCTTTGTTTCCCGGTTCCGCACCTTTTAATTTCTGCTGGATGGCGTAGCGCGCCTTCCGCTCCTGGTCCAGTTCGTTACACAGCGTATCTGGAAGACACGGAGGGAACCCTGAGTTAATGCAGGCCACCTTCCGGCCAGCCGGGGTCACAGCCCGGGCGTCACTCCCTCCCCGGGGCGCAGCCCCTGGCAGAGACAACCCTGGGGATGGAGGAGGGGGTCCCCAGGCTCCAAACCGCAGGATGAGGAAGGAGGAAATGGCCTGGGATGGCGCTTAAAGGCAGATGGATCTAACCAAAATTAAAGCAAACTTAGGCATTACTTCCCAGGTAATTTTACGCCTCGATTTTTAATTTAGAAACCAGGGAAATTGCCGCGATAAGAAGTTCAATCACTCCATGTAATGATGCCTGCAAGCCGTTTGCTGGGCTCGCTTGCCATTCCGAGGCTAATCAGAGTATACAAAGGATATTAAATAAAAAAAATAATTGTTAAATTACCTTCAATTTAAATCCAAATGACTGAGCCAACACAGCGGCTCCTGCCAGACGAGAGGCAGTTACGGCCTCGCGCGCGCTCACCTGACTCCCGTCTTACCTCTGACAATTTGCAGCTGTTGCACCATTTCTTCTCGATAAGCCAATTCCCTCTTCATCTGATCCTGAAAATTATCTGTGCAAATTGATTAAGCGGGAGCTGTTACGCATAGCCCCCTCCCCCAGCCCCTCTTCCCCACTCCCCCCTCCTCACCCCTACCCCTACCCCCACCTCCACCCAATTGTCGCCTGGCTGGAGACCCCACAGAGGCGGGTTCCTGGCTCCCCCCGGGGCGGGCTGTGGCAGTTGCCTGCACCCTGCTACCCAAGCAGACCACTTGCTAGGGGAGAGAGCTTGCTGATGAGATGGGGCTGGGTTGGGGCTGGACGGGGATACCTTTGAGACTCTGAAATTCTCGCTCCAGCTTCTTTCGGAGTTCCATTTGCTCCAGGAGCAGTTTCTGCAATTCATCTGTGAAGGGGGCAAGTGAGAGGGAAAGGGGTGGTGGGGACTTGTGGAGCTTGAGTGCGGAGGCACCAGGTCCTGCCCTGGCCAACAGCCTGAGAGCCCCAAGCTGGGGCAGAGGTCTCTAGCACTCTCCCTTTGTATTTGCATCCAAAAGATTTGGGCAAAGACCCTGGAGCTAGGGAGTGGGGTGCCAAGGGGATTGAAGTTCCGGATGGTGCAACCCACAGTGGACTGAAAAGGCCCAGGCTCCAGGAGCTAACCAGCCTTGTTATCTGCCCTAAGTTGTTCCCAAGTCCCCAGTCTTACAGAGGCTGGCTCACGAACACTTGATGTCCTGCTGCAACTGACAGTCCTGACCCCTTGGATGCAAATTGGGGAGACTCTGCCCAGAGTCTTGGACTCCCAGAAAAATGCACACAACACAGTCTGCCTACAATTTCGGGAGGCCCCTATACCCCCGAATTCACACTGAGAGTCTGCTTAGGAAGCACCAGTTATTCTGAAGGTCGTAGCTTGTCCTGTAAGGTCTGCAGCTGGGAAGAACAGAACACTGCTTGTCTCCCTCCCTCCACTCATTTCAGAGACCCTCCTTGGGCTGGGGGCTGCGGAGGCAGTCAGGTGAGGAAGGCTCTGTTAGTGGCCTCAGCTTCCCTACTGTAGGGGCCTTGCTGTTGGGCCTGCCCTGGGAGCAGGCACCTTTGAACACACAGAAATGGAAGGTGGACAGGCAAAGGGGTTAGCGGCTCCCTCCCTCTGTGCCTCCAGGCCTCCTTCCCCCTCCCAGCAGCACAGCAGCGCTGGGACCCCAGGATGCAGACTCCCTCCTCACTCCAGTTAGGACGCACTAATCCCAAGGGGAAAACTATTGCAACTTCTCCCGCACTCCTAAAACAGATGCCTCTCTACAATATGGCTACTCAGAAAGAGTCCTGTTTTCCACTGGGGTTGGGGGCACCCAGAGAGTCCTGTCCAACGGTCCACACATAGCAGCTTCTGCGAATCATCACTGGTTGCTGCCTCACTGGCCTCTTCAGACAGACCTGAGCCTCCCAAACAGAAACTTGCACTAGACCTCTGGGGGTTCTGTTCACCCCCTGGTCCCGCCCTACACCACTGTGCAGGATGTGTCCCCAGCCACTGCGCACAATGAGAACTGCTCCCCTCAAAGAGCCCTGATTTCCCCACACTTGCTCTCTGCAGGAAGGGCCCGGTTCCCTCCACCACAGCGTAGCCTCCCTTGCACAGGTGGAACCTCACCTCTGGCCAGGTTTTCGATGTCTTTCTCCACCAGCTGAGTTCCTGTGACATCCAGAGTGAGCCCATCTTCGCCTGCGATTCAAGGGCAGGGATCAGGGGTTCTGTCCTGGGAGAGGCCTTGGAAGGGGAGGATGGGGCTTCCTGGGACCTACTCAGGACCCCCCCTCGGCCCTCCACGCAGGATATCATTTCAGGAAGTAGGAGAGTGAGCCCAGGCAAAACGGGGCTTCTGACCTATTTTATGTGGGTGAGAGTGTCTTTCCACTTCCTTCTAGTACCTTCCCCACCCCTTACCCGGAAGAGCCTCCGAAGCTACCAAGGAGGTAGCAACTCAGGAAAACCGGCCTGCACCTCCCCCCGCGTTGAACCGGAAGGTCACTGGCTGATTGAAAACCGTTCTCGCTAAGCCCAGGGTAGCCTAGGCGATGGAGCCCCGGCTACCGAGGGCAGGTGCGCGCGAGGGTCCTAGGGCTCACCTCGGTCTGTGTTTGCGGGACTTGGCTGGGAGATACTCCTTTGGTCTGGATAGGATTTCCTGGTTTCCAAATCGTCGGCGGTCGAGTGATTGTCGTCCTTATCTGGCTCTTAAAGGCAATAAACCGAGTTTCAAGGAGAGGCAAAGAAACCGTGACCCCGATACCGCCAGAGCTGCCGCGGTCGGGGCGCCCAAGCCCTCATTAAAAACGTCGCGGCCGCCTCTGGTTCCCGGCTGTGCGCCCAGGCGCCCGAGGCTCCGGGGCCGGCGACTCCCTCCCCCGCGCAGGGTCTGTTCCTCTCGCTGCTTTACGCCCCCACCCCAGCCCCGGAAAAGAGCGAGCCGAGCAGCCGGGCCCACCAGGGACGAGCGACCTACATCGCGCGCAGATACTGGGGCACCGCGAGCGCGCGTGGCCGCTGGGTCTGCCCGCGCGACTTCCGCCTAGCGCACAGCCTAGGAGGCGACTTTCGAGGTGGCAGCGGCGCGGAGGGGGGCGGGTATCGTCGCCGGCTCGGCTGCTTTGGCCTGCCGGATTTCCAAGTCTCCCCTCCCCGTTCCCCCCAACCCCGGGTTGGACCCGAGGGCAAGTGCAGGGCTACCCCCACCCGGCATGGAACCGCAGCTACCCCAGCGCTTCTGGGGTGCCAGAGCGCCCATATCCTCCGCCTGGACCCGGCCCGGTCACGGGGGACCCTGCCGGCAGACACACTCGCTGAATAAAGAGTGGACTTGAAGGAGATGCCAAGTGTAATTTTTACAATGTCTTAACCCAGGGTCCGGGGTGTCCTGGCGCGCGCGAGCATGTGTGCGTGTGTGGGCTGGAGAGGGTGTGTTGTTGCTGTTCTCTTCAGTAACCAAGTGGTGGAAGCTGTTGGGGGTTCCTTAGCTTAGCTTCCTTTTTCTTTCATTACTTGTCTCTCCCTCTCGCTTCTTCCCTATGTGTTTCTCCCCTCGAGGCCTCCCCCTGGCCGGCCCTCTGCTTGCGTGCCCCCAGGACAGCGGCCAGCGACCTCGGCAGGCGTTACCGTGGGTCTCGGGGGCGCAGAGAAAGGAGGCCGTGGGCCCCAGCGCCGCCGCCGCCGCAGCGCTCTTCGCGTACTCGTCCCTCTCCGGCGCGGACACCTGCGGCGGCCGAGAAATGACAAACGATTAGGGGGGGCTCCGCGGCGGGCTGAAGCCGCTCAGCCCTGCCCAGCGGGCCCTCGCGCCCTTGCGCCCTCAGAGCCCGCCGCACCGTTGCACACTCACGGTCATTATTGGCGCCGGTGGAAAAAAAAATTGCTTCCAACAAAAGCGTGCCCCAAGCCAGGGGCGGACGGAAGCCGCCTGCATTCGCTGCGTTCCCATTTTCCCTCCCGCTCCCGCCGCGACCCCCAGTATAAACGACGCCTTTCGCATCCGGTGTATGATCCGTGCTTTAATGAACCGAATGAGAACGTACAGGTGTGCTCACCCACTTTCAAAATGGCTAAACGATTCAGACCCTGCTGCACTCCGCCCTTCCAGTCCCAGCTCTGCCTTCCAGTCCCAGCTCTGCCGACGCAGGAGCCCCTGGCCCAACTGCCCAGCGCCCAACCCCGCAGTTCTCTAGGTGGGAGTTCGAATAGACTCGGGAAACTGCGAGCTGGAGAGGCGCGGGAGCCCCGGGACGCGGTGCTGCCGGCTCCCGACTGCTGCTCTGCAGCACCCCGTACCCACGGGTGCACCCTGGGGACTCTGATCCCTATCCTGGGGGACGCACTCGGGGCGCTTTGCTCTGGCTCCCTTTCTCTTCCCTCAGTCCCTTCACTTCTTTCTGAGTCTGTGTGTCAGGTGGTCTCCGCCGGGCTGCCCACACCCATCAGTAAAAACCAAGTACACGCGTTCCCCGAGCCTTCTCCCGCCCGACCCCACCCCGATCCTCCGAAGAACCTCTCCGTCTGGGGCTCCCAGCGGCTGTGGGCCCGCCGGAGCCTACCGCCCCAACACCTGCGCGTAACACTCCCGTGCCCGGCGGAGCCAGGGCCGCCTGGCATCCAGGCGGTGCCCAGGGCTAAGTGGGGGCTGGCGTCACCGGTGGGGTGGGCCCGGGGCTCACCTTGGCGGGCGCGGGACCTCCCAGGGACCCGCAAGGCTCTCGCAGGTCGTAGCCACCGCTTGGCGGGCTCCTCTCGGGTCTCCGCACCACGTCGTCGGCCGCCAGGTCCCCAAATGCGGACCGGCCGGCGGGGGGTGGCCCCAGGCGGCGCCGGGGGTGGGGGCTGCCGCCCTCGGGGGAGTCTGCCAGGCCGTCCACGCCCGCGACTGCGGCCGGGGGCCCAGCGGGCTGGTCGCCGTCCGGGCCACCTGCAGTGCTGGGGGCGCTGGGCTCGGCCTCGTCCTGGGCGCCCTCCTCTTCGTCGGGGAAGCGGTTGGACTCCACGTCCACCTCGGGCTCGTCCGCGGTGTCCACGTCGGGCGAGGCAGAATGGTAGCTGGAGCTGCCCTCGCTCAGAAAGTCCGGGCTCACGTAGCCGCCGCCGGTCCCCGCGCCCGGCCCGGGCCCACGAGCAGGTCCGGCGCCGTACGCCTCACGGGCGCTGCCATAGAGCTTGGCAATGCTCTCGGCGTCTTTGACCACAGGCCTGAAGGCCGACACGTAGGAGCCTTTGCGTGCGTGCGGCGGCGGCGGCGGCGGTAGCGGGGCCAGGGGCGGAGGCAGCGCCTCGTCCGCACCGTCCTCGTCCAGCGGTCCTCGGGAAAGAGCGCTCGGGCAGCGCTCCTCCGCGCCGAGGCCGCCCTCTTTGGCTGGCTCGGCACCGTCCAGGGGCTCCGGGCCTCCGCCGCCCGCGGCCGCCGCCGCCGCCGCCGCTGCCGCCGCCACGGCGGCCGCTACGGCCTTGGCTTGGCTCTGCGCTGCCGGGTAGGGCGGCACCGGGAGGCTGCCTGCCGCGGGCCAGAACATGGGGAACGTCGGATACACGGTGGCGGCGGCGGCCGCTGCAGCCACCGCCGCCGCGTCCTTAGCTGCTCCGGAGGGCTGATGTCCCCAGAACATGGCACCGCCGCCCGGGCCCGCCCCGGTCCCCGGGGGCAAGTGCCCGGCTCCCGGGCCGCCAGCGCCGCCGCTGCCGCCGCCCGCACCGCCCCCGCCGCCCCCGCTGCCAGGGCCGCCCTTCGGCTCGCCCGCACCTAACACCGCGTCGTCCTTTTTGGGGCACAGGCCGAAGGCTGTGGGGAAACCGTACGGATGCGGGAAGAGCGGCGGGGGCAGCTTTTGCAAGAGTCCAAAGCCTTTGCTGGGCACCGGAATCACCGGGTAGCTGCGGACGCCGGCGCTTCCCCCCGGCCCTCCGGGGCCGGCTGGGCCTGCTGCCGCTGCTAGGCCAAGTCCGCGCTGAGGGTGGGGAGGCGGCGGCCCCGGAGGCCCGGTAGCCTCCTCCTCGCCGCAGCGCAGGCTTTTGTGTGGCGGCGGGCCTGGGGCCATCTCCGCGCCACACCCCGGGCCACCGCCGCTGCCTCCGCCGCCGACGGCGCCGCCCTTCCCCTGCCCACCCGACCCGCCGTTCGCGCCGCCTGCGCCGCCTCCTTGCAGCGAGAAGGTCCGCTTGCGCGTGCCGCCGTTAAACATGGCCTTGACGTCCTCCCAAGCGTGGCTCAGTTCATCCGTGGCCGACTTGTCGCTGAGTTTGAGGTGGCGGCGCCACGAGTTGAAATTGGCGGCGTCGGGCTGGGTGTACTTGGCGTCGGGCGTGCGGTGCGAGTGGAAGATGAACTTGTTAGGCGAGAAGTACATGCTGCAGTAACCGCACTTGATGCATTTGGCACGCGAGCTGTTGTAGCGCGCGGGGATGAAGCTGCCGCGCGAGCCCCAGGCGCACTCGTGCACCACATCGAAGGCAAAGTTCTCGGGCAGCTTAGGCGGCTTGTGCTCGCCCAGGAACGACTTGCACAGGCGCTCGGCCTCGCGCTTGGTGATCATGCCGCAGCGGCGCGAGGAGATGGGCATGGCTCCGGCCCTGCGCAGGATCTCCAGCTGCACCGGCGTGCACTGCACGCACGTGATGCCCAGGGCCACGCGGCGGTTGTGGATCTCGTTGTAGCTGTAGTTCTTGAGGAGCGTGTTGGAGATCTGCGCCAGGCACAGGCGCTCCTGGCCATCGATGACCAGAGACACGATGGGCACCCCGTACAGCGACGTCTCGCCCACCTGGTTGGGTTTGAGAGCGCTGGAGCCCGAGTAAGGCTGCAGCTCTTGCTTGGAGTTGGGCGAGGAGCTGCCCTCGCGCCCCGGCCCCAGCTGAGTGGTGAGAGCCTCCATGCCGCCGCTCCTGCGAAACAGAGAAAGCAGAGAGCAAGGATGAGCCACTTTGAGCGCTGCCGCCGCGGCCGCCGCCGCCGCCGCCGCGGCCCGGGCCCGCCCAGCAGGGCGCGCAGAGTCAGGCATTTGGGGGGAACTCTTGGCAGTGGGGAGGTCCACTCTCACTCGTCCCAAGGACGGGTGCCTTTTGTTATTCAGACCCATATTGGCGCCAGAATAAAAGCCGTGCCCCGGGTTCCAGGGAGGAGAAGGGGTGATGGAGACTCAGGGACTCCCGAGCAGCTAGGAACCCAATCCTGTATTCGGACTGGGGAGGAGGGGGAACCCAGAGACGGAGAGCGACTTGCCCAAGGCCACACAGCAAAGCCATCGCCAGCTCCAGGCTTTCAGACGCCTTCCGCTACCCTCGCCGCCCGCCCTGCTGGCCGGGGTCCTGAAGCCCGGACTTCGGGGACCGGCCGCCCCTCTACTCAGCCGCGCACGCACGCGGGCGGGCGGGGGCAGCGCAGGGAGGGGTATGGAGGCGGAGGAGGGGCGGTCACTGCCCACTTCCAGGCGGCGGCGGGTGTGGTGGTGGTGGAGAGGGCAGTGAGAGGAGGAGGGACCGCGGGCTGCCTGGGAGGGGGAGAGACGGGGGAGACCGCTGTTCGCGGTGCTGAACCTGACCCTCTCCAAAGAGCGCCAGGCGCTTCAGGACCCAGGGCGGCCAGCACCCACCCAGCTCCGCGCCAAGCCAGCTTCCGGGGACAGCAGTGCCGGTTTCCACAAACCAGACCTTCTCCTCTCAAGCCCGGAACCCCGTGTTTGTTGAGTGGAAAGATTCCGGCTGAATATAGAAGCCGTTTTCTCTCCTGCCATCAGTGGGACCGGGATCCTGCAGTTCCTAATCACATTTTCTGTATTTTTAGCTGTGTTCCAGACCAACGTTGGCTTCCGTTGGGGTCAGTGTGTGGGACAGAAAGGTTCCACATAAGTTTCTTTGGAGCCACTTCTTCTGCTTCTAATTCCCTACTCCCTGCTTTCCCCCTTCAGAAATCTCTTTTCCACCCAGGCCAAATGCAGGCTCCGAGGCTCCAGGCTCTCTTTGGGGGGGGGGGGGCGAGCATCTCCTCTCCCAGCATCTTCCATGCCCAGCTTTGCAGCCCCTATGGGATGGGAGGAATTCCCAGCGGGTCTTCGAAAGCCACTGCAAGGCTACAGGCACAAAAGTTGCTGCAGGTCCAGCCGCTTCACTCCGGCCAAGGCAGGGAGCAGGGGCACCCAGGTGGCGGCTTGGGGCCCAGCCACGTGTCTCAGGCCGGTCAATGCTTCCATCAGGCCCACAGCTATGGGCCCTCCAGCGACTGGGGTAGCCCAGCCCTGAGGGCCCAAAAGGCAAATCCATGTTGAGAGGGGACCTCCAGGGGGACAGGAGATCCGAGTGGAAAAGCTCTCCGGAGGACACTGGAATCTTCAGCCTGCCGGCCTGTCTCCCTCGGTGCTTGTCTACCTGCCCCTCATCTGTCGATCTTATCTGTCCCTGAGCTGTCTGTCTCTGCCGGCTCGCTGGTCTTTCTCCCATCTGTCTTGTACCTCTGGCAAGTATCAGGCTATTTATCTACTGTCTGTTTCGTCTTTATCTCGCGGATCAAACTGAAATTAGTTGACCCTCCCTTGGCGTAGAAGTCCCTTGGCGGAGTGGGGGCCAAAGACACCGGCACTGCCCCCACTCCGCCGCTGAGGGGGCGACGCGGCTCCGTAGGCTCTGGGGCGCGTTGCGGAGGCGGCTGGGGGGGGGCACAGCGCCCTGGGAAGCGACGATGGCTTCTGGGTTTCCCGAAATCTTCAAGTGTGCCCGGCCCCGCATGCAGTGAAGAGAGCGCCCCGCAAGCTGAGAGCGTCCCCCGAGAAAGCTGAGGGTCTCGTGTCTCCGAGGGGCTTTCCTGGGCGAGAGAAAGTGGCTCGGGGCCCGGAGGCCCGAAGGAGCACCCTAGGAAAGGACCAACATTTCCGGGGGCCCCAAGCGAAAAGCACGAGGGAAGAATCACACACAGCGACCAGGAGCAGCGGCCAGGGCAGCTCGGGGAGCGGTCGCCGGCTCCTGGGCTCGAGGGGCGAGCTGGGGAAGAGCGGCGAGGCGGGAGGCGGGCAGCGGTGCGAACCAGGCGGTGGAGTCGTTAGGTATAATAAAAACAACAGCCGCAAGAGCCCCGATCAGAACTAAACGAAAAGAAGCGGTCGGGGCCGGACGCAAAGGGCGGCCGGCTACCGGACGCGAGTACTCACCGTGCGGCGGCGGCTGGAGCCGGGCGAGCGGTGAGCGGAGGTGCGCGGCGGGCGGAGCGGCGGGCGGGAGTCCGGGATCCGCCGGGCTCTCCGGGTGATGGCGCGGCCCCTCCCCGCGCGCGCGCACACACAGCCGCGCTCTCCGGCTCCCCGCGCTCCCACCCGCGGCCCCTCCCGCTCTCAGCAGGCGCGGGGCGCCAGGGCCCCGGACGCGGAGACTCGAGCCCTGAGCCGCTGCCCCAGAGGCCAGGGACTGGCCCGAAGAAGAGGCCGAAACCTGGAGCTCATGGCTCGGCGGCGGGCACGGCGCGGTCACAGCCCGAGTGGCGAGGCCGGTGCGGGGCGGGCGCGCCTGACAGCTGCTAGCCGGGGCGCCACACCCACCGCCCGCGCAGTCACTCGCGGCCTCCACGGGCCCGCCCGCCCGCGGGCCGCCTCCCCACAGCCCCAGGGCCTGGGCGCCCCAGGTAAGCGGCCGCACACCTGCGTCCCGCGCCCCGCACCTGCGGCCCACGCTAGCTGGAGAGGCCAAGTGGGAGGAAGGGCCCCGGGCTTCAAAGTTTGCCCCCAACAAGGAATCGGGGGAGGGACCAGCGCTGCTCGCCAAGGGGCCAGGAGCCCCACCAGGTTTAGGGGCGGGTGGTGGAGCTAAGCGGGACTCAGGGGAGGGGGCGGGAGGAGGGGTTTGTCACTTTCGGGCCAGGGCGGTACAGTCATGGGTGGCCTTGAAGATCCAAAGGGCAGGGACCCAGGGCTCTGGGGATAGCTGGGAAAGGGCTCTGGTATGGGGAGGGGCGCCCTCCTGCTGCCCTCCCTCAGCAGGGAACTTTGGAATGGGTTGTGCTCCCGGCTCAGCTCACCATCACCCAGAGGCCCATGGCAGGAGTCAAGTCACCGAGAGCCCCCGGGGTCAATTTCTGTGTCGAGCCTGCTGACTCAGTTTCCCCGTGGTGGTACTGTGGGGCGTGGGGTCAAGCCCCTCGACGCCTCCTCTGTCCCCGGAGCTCCGTTTCTCTCCACACTGCCCGGTTGCTGGTCTCTGAGCCTTCACCATGCCGGCCCCCGGCACCCATTGGGCTCCGTCCTCTCTCCTCAATCTCGTCTTCCCTCGAGTCCCCCTCGGCCCCTGCTTGCTCGCACCCGGGCGCTCCCTCCGCCGCTTCCACCCACCCCCACCCCCGCCCCCTTCCTTCCTGCCCCCTTGGCATTAAGTGTCCTTAATGGACACGTTAATTAAACTGTAATTAATCATACTGTCCAGCCCAAGTTTGAACAATTACCCTAATCAAACAGAAGTTAATAATCGCAGGGATGGCCCGGGGCGCGGCGGGCCGCCCGGGCAGGGGGTGCAGGGGCCTCGGTGGCTACGGGCGGTGGCGGTAGCGGCGAGCGCAGCCTGTCCTTGGAACCCAGGCGCCGCCATAAATCTTCCGCGGGTAGCGGCTCTCGGGGTCGCCCTCGTCCCCCGCCCCCTCGTTTTCCCTCCGCGCGTTCTGGCTCCCCTGGGGCTCGCCTCAGCTTCTCTCTGCCTCTCCTCTCTCGTGGCGCCCACGGATGGTCCAGGCCTCGCCCTAGCACACAGGAGGGGCCGGGCCTGGCCTTGGGTGGGGGGCACGTTGGCCCTCCCCCCCCCCCATACCGCTGCTTTCTGAGGTCCCAGAAAACCGCTCTCAAGTTTGAGGGCCCTCCTTTCTCCACAAGGTCTTTTCTTGCTCTCACCTCTCTCTCGAGTTCCGTGTTTCTCACCGCCTCTGCCCCCCACCCCCCAGCCCTCAGCCTACTCAGCCCCTCTGCCTCACTCTGTGCTCGGCCCCTCCACCTGTATCTAACCAGCTCCGACATTGCCTCGCTCAAGCCTGCCGCCTCCCTCGGAGGAAAAGGGGCACCCTATGATCCGCTCCTTGATCCGCTCCTTGCCCTTACTGCCACCCAGCGGGGTGCCCCCTCCTTCTGTTAGGCTGCCCAACCCCAATAATAATCCCGCTGGGTAACCGTTCTTAGTCTCCTCGTGATTTTTCTCAGGCTTCGGTGTGGTGGTGACCACTGGCGTGGATCCAGGACGACCTCAAGGTGTGTGTGTGTGTGTGTGTGTGTTTTGGGGGGGTGGAGTTGCAAAGAGGAAAAGCAGGGAGGCCTTTGGGCAGCACCCGGCTCTCTGGTCTCAGTTGCACTGCGAGGGCCCATAGGTCGCCGCGCCGCGCCCCGGGAACCCCTCAGACAAAGGCTGCCACCCTGGGCTACAGTGTGTGTGTGTGGGGGGGGGGGTGCCCCGTCGCCTTTGCATCCCTGTTCAGCACTAAGCCCTGGACAGCTCCCTGCACCCAGGCCGGGCGCCCGCTGCTCGGTTCAGCTCCTTGGCCGCTGGCGCCTCTCGGGAGAAAGGCTGCAGGCGTGTGGAGAGAGAGGCTGGGGAAGGGCCGGGGTGGCGGCTGGCGCTCGGCTCTGGACCCGGGTTCGTGTAGTGTCACCGCGGACAGCCTTTTACGGTTTGCAGAGCCGGCTCTTCGAAGGCGCTGGGAATAGTTTGCGATCATTCATTCCCATTTTACAGGCAATAAATTGAGGGCTGCGCAGCAGAAGCCAAACCATCAAGGTTCCTTGGACAATAAAAGGTGCAGGCTGCATGTTGGGCCTGGCACCCTGCAGAGTCCTAGCTCGGGGAAAGGAGAGTTTGAGGGGGCAGCACAGCTCCTGGCTTCCGGAGGCCCTCACAACACGGTGCACAGGGCAGCCACAGTGCACAGTGGCAGAGCTGGGATTCGGACCCAGGCTCCTCTGGGGGTGTGTTGGACCTGACTTCCTTAGTGGGAGCTTCTGGGGTTCCCCAGGGGAGTCTCTGCCCTGGGAGCTTCTCTCTTAGCTGCTGCCCGGTGGCATCAGGGGCCGGAGGGCCAGGCTCTGGATCTGGGGTGCACCTTGTCTCCCCACTGCTGAGGCCCTGGTGTCGCGTCCACGCGGCTGGGCCTCCGGAGCCCATTCGGGCTGGGGCCAGGGCCGGGGCTGGGCGGCCGCGCCTGCTCTTCAAGCACATATCTTTTACCAGTTGAATTAACGGCAGTTTTCGTCAGTTAATTAGGTTTAATTTACATAATTAGTACAGTATAAAGAGGATTGGGGATAATCACGGGGTACGTAGCGCTTACTGTGTAAACACGTATTCTGAATTAAAAATCAGATGTAATTAAGGCGCGCAGGCCCTGTTTAGGCAGGGTTTTAATTGTAATGAATTTCTAATTAACACTCAATGATTGCCAAATGCAAAGGGCTGTAAAATTTTCTTGTAGTTTTGCTAATTTATTGTTTACTTAATATCTGGATATTAATCCGAGGCCCAGAGTAGGGCGCGGCAGCCAGGGCCCAAGTCCTTGAAGGAGGCTGGGTGAGTCCTGCTGGGCACCAACCCCAGGGCAAAAGCCAGGTCGCAGGCAGGTGAGGCGGCGGCCTCGGAGGGCAGGGCAGGTGCTGAGTGCTGACCTGGGAGAACTTCTGCTCTGGCTCCCTCTGCCTAGGCTGGCTCTTTGAGATCAGAGTGGGAGCGGTGCTCCTCCCAGCAGACTCTGTGTTCCAGGGAACATCACAAGGAGGGGGGAGGGGGAGCATGGCCTTGATGGGTCCACATTCCATTCCTCTGCTGACCACTTGAGGGTCCTGTGGTCCTGGGCTTGGCCTCACTCTCTGCCTCCGAAGGATGGGTGTGCCGATGGCACTTTGCAGGCGTGGAGCATGGCCCTGAGCGTCTTTCTTGTGGAGCACAGGATAGAGGTGGTGGGTTTGGGCACCTCTGCTTGGGTGTTGTGGCTTAAGCTGGGGCGAGGAAGGGGTAGAGCCAGGAGGCCTGGGGAATGGTTTGAGAGTCTTGGGGTTCACTCTGCTCATCCTGAGGCTCTCTCTGCATTTGGGGATGTGAGTTAGGCTGGACAAGTCCTGGACCAGGCTCCTTTGTGGTAGACACAGAAGCCCCTAAATTCTGCACAGAGGTATTGTGCAAAGAGGTTGGTCCTAGAGTTTCTCCCATGAGGATCCTCCCCCCCCCAATCTCTGGTTTGGGTCCCTGCCCACACTTCAGCTGGCAGGGGCGGGGAGGGGATGAAGGGCCCCCCTTCCGCCCCTCCAGCTCAGTCACCAGCCTCTTCCCAAGGTATTCTCAGCACGGGGACACTGAGTGGCACTTAGGCATTTCCTATCAATCCAAGGAGACACTCTGGAAAAGGTCAGCATCACCCCGAGGCTTCTGTGCACACAGCAGCTGCCCTAACTTCTCCCTCCCGCACCTGCCTTTGCCAAGCCTTAACACCGTGCAGGGCCTGCTCTGAGCCCGCCTGCTGGCCGGGCCCACAGCCCTCCCCGTGT